ATATATATATATATATATACTGTATATATGTGTGTGTGTGTGTATGAAGACATCAAAAGCCACAAAACACCACCTCCATCATACGTTAATTAAATACTTTTGCTTCAAACCTGCTAAATTTCAGCCTCAATCCATTCAAAAATACTGGTTCATTGGCAAAAACCTCTAAACACTACTTCCTGCTTTGCCAGCAAAAGCCTCTAAGTCCACAGAACCAATTACAAGATGCAACTCGAATCCTAAGATTTCAAGATGAATGACGGCGTGCGTATGAGCCAGCTTTCAATTGTCGAGCTGCAAGTTTTTATCCTGTTTAAAGTAGGGCTGTTTTAACATAACAACTAACAATTTTAATGTAAGGGTAAATATATATATATGTATCCTACTACTTGTTTCGCTTCCGTTTCAGTTTTTATAACCATTTCTTACTATGTGTAAGTAAATTGTTGTTTTTTAGCATGTGTGTTTGGCAGTGTTATTTTTTTAGGATTACTGATAAACTACTGTCATTTGATTTGTATTATTTATTTTAATTTTAGTTAAATTATGTCTGTATAGGTATTTTATTAAGTTTTTAGTTTTATTTAATTTGAGTTATTTTAATACTTCAACAAACGAAATGGAAATGAAATAATATATATATTTTAAATGTATTAATGTGTATGTACATATACAGTATATATGTGTGTGTGGTTGTACAGACACATATGCAGTTGTTTATTTGGTGTTTGGCTTAGTGTTACGTTAGAATCATTATTATACTCTTATACCTTTTGTTCTTTAATATTTTGAATTGTTTCTAGCTTTATTTTTTGTTTTTCATTTAAATGTTAAGTTTTGAAATTTAGTTGTATGCATTTATCATTTTTATTTAATCTCTTTATTTTTTAAATGTGTATAAGTAGTATTTATAAAGTTTTAGCTTTTAGTTTTGAATCTGTTTTTAGTTGTTTTAATACTACAGTTGATTGCTTCTGTTGTCCTCATTTGTAAGTCGCTTTGGATAAAAGCGTCTGATAAATGACTAAATAAATAAATGAATATATATATATATATATATATATATATACACAGGACCCAAGGTTTCCCAGCAGAACATTGCCCAAAGCATTACACTGCCTCCACCGGCTTGCCTTCTTCCCATAGTGCATCCTGGAGCCATGTGTTCCCCAGGTAAGCCACGCATACGCACCTGGCCATCCATGTGATGTAAAAGAAAACACTCAAATCCTTACGCTTGCCTATTTTTCCTGCTCCTATCACATCAACAAAAATGTTCACTTGCTGCCTAATATATCCCACCCACCAACAGGTGCCATGATGAAGAGATAATCAGTCATAATCAGTGATTCATGATCAGTCATCGGTCATAATGTTATTTCTGATCGGTATATATATATATATATATATATATACTGTATGTATATATAAAATCTCTCCAAAAATTTTATAATCACTCTCCTATAAATGTCAGAGCTACTTGTGTAAATACACAGTAATGTCACATAAATGGCTAACTGCACTTACCTGTACTCTCCAAATTCTCCATCTTTCATTGTGCGGGCCCCAGCATTGACCTGATCCTCCTCTTTATCTTTCACTGAAACGTTAAAAAAAAAAGAAAAAAAGATTGACAAATTGACAACAGACTCTTATTAAAACTTCTTATTAAAAATCGATTGCATAGTGGTGCCTCTGGCAGGGGATTGAGTGGGCTCTCCCGAGGAAGACAATGAGTGCCTATTCAACTGGAAATTTGACCCCTTGTTGTTGCATGGTTGTTCACTTGTGGTTTTTATCACAGCTTGAGTGCAGGCATTTTTTCAGTATGGTGTAGTGAGTATGATCATTCTTATATCATCAGCAATTGATGCAGCATTGAGTTCCCATACAATGAAGAGGGGTTATGTATGTAACCCTGGTTCCCAGACAAGAGATCCATATGCTGCATATAGTTATGTCAGCATGCTGAGTGATATGTCACATGACTGCCTCGGCCAATAGAATTGGTGTGTTTTTACAAGTGCTTCAGACCTGGCACACACTGAAGGTGTTCCCATAGCAGAATTTTTAAATTGTTTTATGTATTTTCTTTCTTTTTTCTTTTTTTAGGTAATATGAACCACTGTTATCTTCGACAGTTTCTTCCTGGTTTTCAACAGGATGTCAGCTGTAACACAAGAAACACTAATATTTTGCACTAATAAGTGTTATAGGGACATCTGACCATAATTCAGTGCAGCTTATTCCTGTATACCATACTTCGCTGAAGTCAAGTAAGCCTGTAACCAAGGTGGTGAGACTTTGGTCTCCAGAGAATGTGGTTGTTTTCTCTGTACTCATTGGGAAGTGCAAGTTCTGTGTAGATTCTGTGATACCAGTTAAACAGTTTAAACATTTTCCAGACAACAAGCCTTATATCACCAAGGAGGTTAAAGGGGACATCAGATGCAAAACTCACTTTAACACAGTGTTTGCATATAAATGTGTATTAGAAGTGTATGAACACAACCACCCTACAATGATAAAAATCCATTCACTTCTTTTTTTTTTTAATCCCCAAAAAACCCAAACAGTTTCAATTATAAATCTGTTTTGTTTTTCCTGAGCTATATGACGTCATATTGCTCAAGCCCCGTCCACTGCCGCTGCCCGTATTAGCATATTTCAGCCCTCAGCCAGGTTTATGCAGACTGTGTACACTATTCTGTGTCAGCCGCGACACGATACGTTTTCTACATGCATTTACGCTTTGATTTAAATGAAAACAGCACATCCGTGTGGTGCGGCTGACACAGAAGAGCGTACGCTGCTTGCGTTCAGTGGATATTCTCCAAAATGGCGCTACGGTGATGCGGAGAGACACCGAGGAGACGAATTGTGGAATAAAGTCATTATTTTTGTTTTCTTCGCGTACAAAAAGTATTCTCGTCGCTTCATAATGTTACGGTTGAACCACTGATGGCAGATGGATTATTCTGATGATGTCTTTCATACTTTTCTGGACCTTGACAGTGTCATGTACTTGGCAATCAATGGGACAGTCACAAGCCTCCCAGTTTTCATCCAAAATATCTTAAATTGTGTTCCGAAGACGAACAAAGCTTTTACAGGTTTGGAATGACATGAGAGTAAGTGATTAAATTACAATTTTCATTTTTGCGTGGACTATCCCTTTAAAAGTAAAAATGGATGATAAATACGTCTTTTGAATGGAATTAAATAGAAAGGACTTTGATTGTCTTGTTTATCATATTTGTTTTCATATAAAAGCAACAGAGCTGAAATCATATCGTGTTTATCAGCAGCAAAGCGCATGAGTGAATAATGCGATCTTGTAGGTTTCTGTTCCACTTCGAGAGGTCAGAACTGTCCGTCTTGACTGCGCTTATTTCACTCCTCCCCTCACGAGCCTATTCATAAATCTTCTCCTGTGGGATAGTAAAGTGTCCATCAATTGTGTACTTCAGAATCTAGGCAGAAGTAGTAAGTCATCCTACTGTTTTTCGAATACTATGAATTCGGACATACTACTCGCCTCACATACTGTTTTTCACCTACTATATAGTAGGGAAGTATGTGATTTCAGATGCAGTGATTGTCTTACTATTGGGAGATGAGAGAAAGCATAACGGTCAACTTGGATCACGTGTGCCTTAATAGCCAATCACATTATAAGGTGTGTTCGACTTAATGCGGCGTTGCGCAGATCAATCAAAATCTTACTTGAAGCAGTGCATGCCAGTTTGAGACAGCACTGACGCCAGGTCACTGTGACAAATAGCATCAAAGTACCGCGAGAGCGTTTCGAGAGCAATCGGCTGACTCAGCCGGCGCAGTTTCTCCAGAGCGACTGCAGGAGCACTGATGACGACACTGCTGTTTCACGATTGGCTGAATTCACCACATGATAATGATGACGTGTGTTTAGGGTTTATTCTAACATCTTCAATTCCAATACTGCTCACAGATCTGTGGTTTTAGAACAGTAAAAGCTCTTTTACTGTAGTTGCAATGTTATATTGAGTCAAGTTTATCAAAAAACACTGATAAAAGCATATATAACCAGCAAGCTACGAGATATAACCTACTCTCGCCGATCGGTCTGCGCAAGCGCGGTGGTCGAACATACCTATTGCCTTGACGTCACTGAATTTCAGTCAGAGTTGTGCGACACTAAATAACCATTTAGGGATCCCATAGGAATGAATGAGAAGTGCTGTAAGCTGAATCCCACCTGTCGCAAAAAGTCTGTGACTTTTTTTCAGTGTAAACTCTAAAAATAGTTTAATCCAAAAAAAAACAAACAACAACAAAAAAAAAATGGCCTCTTCCATTCCTTCTCAAATTCTGTATGGAAAACAAGAAGAAAGGAAGGCTCAACTGAGCTGGAGGGTTATGGCCAGAAAAATAATGTTTTTTTTTTTTTCACACATCCATCGATTCCAGCATACGAGTTATGCCAACATCGAGGCAATGCGCGAAAGCGGTTATGAGAAGATGCCCCTATAGAGAGACGCTGGCCAGCTATCTCTCTATGGATGAGACGGTTTGAGGATCAGAGACGGGCACAGAAGGCTAGTTTCGCGGCTCGCGCTCCTCCCCCGTCCGCGGGTAGGGGTAGGAATAATCGCGGGTCAAAGGAAGGTAGGTAAAAGACCTAAGGGATGTGATCCAGACAGGGCGTCAATGCTTTATCCGGATCAGAGTGATGCGTCAGTATCTACTCATTTCCTTCGGGGGTCTTACATCTACCCTTATCTTCCCCTTCCTAATTCCCCTGTAACCACCATCTCTCCACCTGACCGAGGTTAGGTGGAAATTTCCTGCATTACAGTCTCCTATGCTGGACCTATGATGTTTGGTTGGTTCTATGGCTTCATAGTGACCCCCTTACTGATGGTCCGGACCAGAGGCTTCTTCGGACGGGGCTCCGACGCGGGAACCATGGTGTGCGAGTACGATCCATTTCTAAATAAATACATATATATATATATATGTATGTATGTGTGTATTTAATGTGCTGGTGGTTGTGTACATCCTTCTGCTAGCTTTCTTTGCAGTGTTTCCCAGGACCCCAGGACCTCCTCGATGAGCACCCCCCTCTGCTGGGTTCAGAAACCGGAAAGATTTCCTGGATGTCCGGGCTGGGCTTATGCTTTCAGGCTGCCTGTCTGGTCTACCGTATCTAGGTCGCACTGAGGGGCCTCCCGATCACCAGAATATCCGCTCTTGTGGAGGCATCGAGCGGGATGTATAGGTGGCATTTGCGAGAACCTTCTTGTGTAATGCTGTCTCAGGCAGTGCTCCCCTCACCTTAGAGGGTTGTATTTGAGCTTGCCTCTCCCGTTTGGCTCAGTACTTCCGGGTATCTGTGAGCAGATGCTTGGAAAACTCTTAAATCCATACTATGGTAAGTGCACACGTTAAGCTTTGCGCACTTTCTAAAAATCCACATAAGTGGTAAGTGTGCATGTTATGCTTTGCGCAATTTCTAAAATCTACATAGGTGGTAAGTGTGCACGTTATGCTTTGCCCACTTTCTAAAATCCACATAAGTGGTAAGTGTGCACGTTATGCTTTGCCCACTTTCTGAAATCCTGGATGGTAAGGATTACGCGTTATGAGCCTCGTTCCCTTTCTCTGAGTTGGCTTAGACCCCGGTACCTTGGGCTCCACTCAACTAGTGTGTCTCTGTCGACACATTCTGGAAGCATCGCTCCCCTCACCATTGAGGGTTATTGTGAGCATGGTGTTTCTTTCGAGCATTTAATTCTCTCTGAGGAGTTGGATTCCTCACTCCATGGTCTGTTCTCGTGGTAGTCCTCCCCTTTTATCAAAGGGTTACCTATGAGCACGCTACTCCTTCTGAATTTGGAGTTCTCCTCTCACGTGAGAGTTGAGTTCTCTGTTTTTCCCAGAGCACCTGGAACCAGCAGCATCAGGCGAACTAGGCCCTTCCTCTGCCTCTCTGATGCGCTGAGTTTTTTGGCTAGCTTGCAGTACACTTACCCTTCTGATTCTAACAATCGCGCTGTAGGTCGAGTCCCCCTCTCGCTGAGAGCTGGGTTTGTGCTCCCTCAGCTAAGGTAAATTACTGCTAGCCGTTCCAGCACGATACCTTATTTTCCACCATAATTTGCAAATAAAATCTTTAAAAATCCTACAATGTGATTTTCTGGATTTTTTTTTCTCATTTTGTCTCTCATAGTTGAGGTATACCTATGATGAAAATTACAGGCCTCTCTCATCTTTTTAAGTGGGAGAACTTGCACAATTGGTGGCTGACTAAATACTTTTTTGCCCCACTGTATATGTTTATTTAGAAATGGATCGTACTCACACACCATGGTTCCCACGTCGAAGCCCCGTCCAAAGAAGCCTCTGGTCCGGACCATCAGTAAGGTGGTCACTATGAAGCCATAGAACCAACCAAACATCATAGGTCCAGCATAAGAGTCTGTAATGCAGGAAATTCCCACCTAACCTCGGTCAGGTGGAGCGATGGTGGTTACAGGGGAATTAGGAAGGGGAAGATAAGGGCAGATGTAAGACCCCCGAAGGAAATTAGTAGATACTGAGGCATCACTCTGATCCGGATAAAGCACTGACGCCCTGTCTGGATCACATCCCATAGGTCTTTTACCTACCTTCCTTTGACCCGCGATTATTCCTACCCCTACCCGCGG